ATTTCATAACTTTTCTAGGTTAAGCAAGTGGATTAAGATCTCTGAAGAAAATTATATTTTTGCAGCTAATACTTCAAACACTCATTATCCTATGGTCAAATTCTATTTATAAAACTATAATGAATGTTTGTTTTCTTGCAATCACTAAGAAGTGATTAAGTCTTGAATGATTCAGCCATTTAAAAGATATTTTTTACTATAGCAAAAAAACCAAACAAACACAAACAAAACAGAGCCTTGCATCTTTACCTGCATAATCTAAAATCCTGCCAGGCCAATCGAGAAATATCTTCTCTTACAGAAAAATTCAAAGTGAAATGAGCAGAGTGTGATAAGATAGAGACTAAGTCTTTTATGGTGCCTTTCATATAAAACACAAAACATTGTAGCTTTCTCTAACTTCATTATTTTTTCAACATTCAGTTGAAATCTATTATACTAAGTTAGATCATCACTGAAGCAAAATTTGAGAGGCTGCCTTCAAAACAAAACCCCCAAAAAGATCCTTCTGCAAGACCTTGGTAAAAAATTATGCAGCATTTCAGCTGTCTCAAAAACTGATCTATTATACAAAAAGGGTTGGCAGCAACTCTAGATCTTGAACTCCTGTTTCTTAAATCATTGATTTTCTCCAGTACGGGTGAGAGCAGAGTGCTCCCTAGAGCGTTTTGTAACAAGAGCCCCTAATAGGAAGCTAATAGAAAACCTTCAGGAGATTAAACTAGGTTCTCAGCAAGTATAAAAGTCATCAGACTGTTGCAGCAACTTGATTCAGCTGATCTCAATGAAGATTTTATTAAAGTTTTTAGAACCCCCAAATTTCTTCTCTGAGAGCTCATATGGCAGGTTCCCTATACTGGCAAATTCTAATAAGTGGAAAATTTGAGGGAGCACCAACAATACCATGGCTAAAGAGCAGGTTGTATGGAGTAGCACAAAAGCTGAGCAAAGTCTACAAAATATATCATTATTCATACATCACTCAGACTCTTGTCCCTTTCTTGTCCCTTGTCCCAAAGCAGGGCTGCCTAAAGCCAGATTTCTGTCCAGTTGTCAAAGGTAATACTCAAAATGAGCAAAATGAGGAGCTTTAGTCACTCAATTTTCTAGGATGAGCAAAAGGAAAAGAACAAATTCAGAAGCCATGACACCAAATTTCAACACAACTGCAATCTTCCACAGTCTGAATCTATGAATTTGCTTCAGCTTTAGATGAATAGACAACTCAGAGACAACAGATATTATCTTAACTACTCATGCCTGAATTTTGACTTCAGAGTCAGAAGCATTTGCTTTTAATATAATCCACAGCAGCATGACTAAGATCACCTAAAAGTCTCTTAGTGGTCACAGTATATTGCAAATTCAAGGGGTATATTGGGTGGGAAGCCAAAGCATTTCAGTGTACTGCTGCCCTTTTTCTTTTTTTATTTTTATAATGAAGGGCTTGAGCACAGAATGCAAAGAACTCCCTTTGCATTTTTATACTAATTGTATACTACAATTAGTATACATTTTTATACTAATTGTATACTAATTGTATATTGCAGCTTTATGCTCATATGTCTTAAAAAATAATTTAAACTATTTTGGCTGATCTCAATAACGAATGAACATCAAATAAAAAGGGAAACTTAAAATATAGCTTCATATTACCACTCTCAAAATGGTGCCTAGAGTGGTCACTGAAATATGGAGTTAAGAAAGTGAAAGCCAAGTTCAAGACCTAAATTTAAGTGACACAAGTAGCAGTCACATTAAGTTTTAGTCTAGCTTTAAGAAAGCAACTAAAAAGATCTAAATTTTCTAACTGATTGTGACAGTAATTATAGACCTGCCTTAAAAACCATTGGATTGATCTGTGTTGACTTTTGTCTATAGACAATGACACAGTATCTTTCTTTGGTGCTTCAAAAATTGGAAAAGGCTAAAATTGGTTAATAGCATTTGGAAAAGGGACACAGTGAACTAAAGCTACTTGCTAAAATCTCCCAAGTTTTTAACTATTCCAGAAGGAACGAGCTCTTTGTTTCAATCATAATAGGTTATGAGTTTCCTTAAAGAGTGAGTTGTATTTTTGCAGCAGAGGGCTCTCTTCAGAGCCATGGCAGGTCTGAAGCCACTCTGCATGCTTGCAAATTTTTCCTCTGTCCAGAGAAAAGAAAGATGATGATGCCACAAATAACTTGTTAGCCCCAAACAAAGAATCCAAAACTACCAAAGCACAAGCAATCTTTGGTTCAAGCTGCTTTGTTTCTGTCAGCACAGGGCATAAAAGCATCTTTGGCTCTATGTTTTGATAAGAGAAATGAGTACCTTGTCATGCTTTAAATCGCTGCTGAAAGATTTCTTAAGTGAACTTGACAGTATTTGAAATGCCCCATGCTGCTACACTTAAGATTTGCCAATCAGAATTAATAGCAACAGATTTACTATTCCAAAACAAATAAAAGCTGTAGTTTTTCTGCTGAATGAAGAACTGATGAATGAAAACAGAGGCAAAATCACCACAATAGCCAGTTATCCTGTCAATGAAAATTATTTTTATATGTCTGTATTGACAAGGATTAGTAAACAATAATGCTTCAGCTAATATAGTTTTTGTTATATTCAAATTGAATGTGAAATACAGGCTGGCATTATAAATGGATCTCTTTTTCTTCTGCACTGAATTTCTGAGTTCTTCTGAGTCTTTATGTTTATATCAGTCAGTAAGTGTATTTTGGTTTAAATAAGTAATAATAAGTAGATGTATTTTGGTATAAATTCTTTTCAATATGTTTCATTTTTCCTTCTATATACTTCACGAGAGTTCTGCTTGTTGTTTGAAGGAGAGCAAAACTATAGATACATGTCTGTTGCTTTCCCTCACTCACTAGGAGCCAAGTGAATATTTTACTTTATTCTAGAGAATTCCATAGAGTTGTGTTGAAAATTCACATGGTAGAGTGGTAAGGTGTCCCTCTCTCCCTGTAACTAATTCCTCCCACCTTCCCAGTTTTGTGAATTTCTTTTTCTGACATTACACAGCAGTTTTGGTGCCCCAGATGCTTTGCACCACCAGCAGGTTTTACTGAGCTGCACCTCATGTGCAACACCTCTTACCACAGGGAGTGGATGCTGATCTGCTTAAATTCCCTTTTATTTTTTCCCTATTGAATTCTGGTATTGTTGCAACCTGGTCCTCCTTATTTATATCTAACTTCTTCCCCAGTTTCATGCTGAATTCAAGGTTTCTCTCTAAGCCCTCCTTAAGCACTCATTTTCATTGATTAGTCAAAAAACCATTTTTTTGTTAAGCTAACTGAGCATCTATCCAAGGACTCCTTTGTGGACTACTACTCTGGACCCATAAGTTAGGAAATTTCATGAAATACAGACTTCCTTGGAGAAACACGGCGCAAACAACTCAGGGGACAATTGTTCAGACTGAGGTGTGTTAAACCACTTGTGCCTCCTCTGAACCTCAGCTGGGCAGTCTCCTAGAAAGCTTTCAGGGGCTCCTGTTGGGAGTACAGCAGGGATGCTCAGGCTGATAAACCTGTGTGGAATCAGGCTCACATTCATGCAGTAAAGAAACTAATTCTCAAGTTCTAACCTAACAGGAAGACTGATGTAATGAGTCTCATTCTGTAACAGACCAGCTGCTCCCTCACAGCTGGATTTGCTAAACACTTACACTGGGGATATTTTGGACAGAAAGAGAGCTTTATAAACCCACCCACATACATTCCAAAAACTTCCATAGGTCTCAACTACTCTGAAGTCTTAGGTTTTATTTATTAGAAAAAAAAAAATCACAAAATCCCTGAAACTATCTCTTCAGCTCTCCTCAACTGACCATCTGCTCAATGCAAATGATAATTTTAGAAGTAATGTCTCTATGCTTATGTGTTTAAAATTACCCCTGTCTCAGCTTAAGCTTTTCTTCTGTTTTTTTGGATAGTGACATTATTTTAGCTTTTTTTTCCATTCTAGGAGTTTCATACTTGATTTTGATGGATACCTTTAGCTTTTATGGATATAATCTGATTGTTTTGAAAATAAATAATGTAATGCTAAATCACATGTTGCCATTTTTATGTAAATATGACACCTTTACCTACAGTGTTCCATCCGCATTCAGGTTAAAATACAAAGAGCTGTCTGCAAGTTTGGGGCTGTAGTGGCCATGGCTCTTTGTACAGCAGATGCTCTGTGAAATTAAAACAGGTGTACCTGCAGTGCCAGCAGTGACTGAGGAACGATTACATGGATAAGCAAGAAGTCATTCATTCTGTTTTGTTTTTGAGCCTAAATCCCCTTTTTCTCTTTTATTAAGGTGTGTCTTCTTATTGCACTTTGCTCTACAACCTCAGCTTGTAGACCAGAATCCCTAGCAGTATATACCCAGCCAAGATCTGCAGTCTCTGATGTCTTCAGGATGCATGGTTAAAACCATGCCAGAAGAGGAACATTGTGGAGGACTTGGGAATATAAGCAGAATTGGGGAGTAGCCTAGGCTACACCAGATGCTAGATGGGTTTGAGAAAGCAATCAGGAAGGCCAGAGAAGCTTTAATCTAAATATTAGATAGGAAAATTGAAATAAATCAGAAGAGGGAGGAAAGTAAGATTGTTTAGCACTGCTGACTAGTCTAAACTTAGTTCAAACCCCAAATCCAGGAATTCTCTGTCTGACTGGGTAAGAACATAGCACTTGTTAATGTTGAATAATTCTCCAGCAACTGATGAGCAGAGAAAAATCTTTTTTGACTCTGAGAAAAATCACCTTTCTGTAATAACAAAACAACAAATCACAAGCTGGCATGCAGTGCTCTGAAATTTTCAGGGATCCACATAGGGCAGCTAAATATCTAGAAAATCTTTCAGCACAAGGCTTTCCAGTGCTCCCAGTTCCCTGTGGGCTGTGGGAGAGAGGCAGGGGAGAGGAAGGTCTCTACACAATGGGGAGGACAGGCAGGTTTTCTCTCAGAGGCAGAGCCTCCCTCTGTCTCTTACCTTGCTGCACGAAGGATCCATAGACAAACCACATGGAGTTGTAGAGAGTTGTGGAGGTCATGGATCCCATCTGAAGGCGCGGGGGGTTGAGCCAGTTCAAGAGGTAGACCAGGAGCCCCACCAAGAGCACCGTGCCAGCAATGCAGGCCCACAGGGAGAGGTCGAAGGGGGCCAGGCAGGCAAACATGTCCACTGTCTTCTCTGCCTTGCGCAGCAGCACGCCCACCGAGTAGTCCATGTAGCGCGTCGTGAAGTCCACCACGTTCTCCCTGTCGGGGGTGATGGTGAGGGCAGAGATCCCAATGTCAGCTCTCTGAGGGGAGGAGGAAAACACAACACGGATAAGCAGGAGCTGCACAAAAAAGATCTTTGCTCCTCTGTGATTTATAGCACCTAAGCTTAGGGAGAATCAGATGCCAAGACCGAGGTCTTCAGCCTCATACATGTGAGCACAGAGAGGTGACTGAGGCTAGATCAACCATGTGTCTTGGTTTCTGCAAGCAAACCTCACTTGGTGGACTCTGGCACATCAGCTCTCCTTGTTGTTATTTTCCAAGAAATCAAAATACTACAAACACAGGTAATACCTGGAGGAAATCTATGTTTGGTCGTTTCTGTCAACCTGGCTTATTAAAGCCATCGCTGGCATTGTGGCAAAAGTCAGATTTCGTGCAGATCCAATCGTAGGAAATTAGTTGCCTGATAGAGCCAAATTTATAAAATATTTTCATGATTTGATGATCATGACAAAGGGCTACTACCCTAGGAGCACCTGAAATTCCATAAAACATCCATTTTATCTACAGAGTCTGAAGTGCAGAAGGGCAGATCCTGTACTCAGTTCCTTTACGATTAATTCCTCTGTATCCTACTGACAAGCAATTCCTCCAGCAATGCCAATCTGTCATGCAGCTAGCCTGGACTTGCTTTGTGCCATTTCTTTTCTTTTTTTTTGTAATTTAAAGAACACATTTCACATGAAAAGAGGATGAGTAACATTTCCTGATCTAATCATTGTATTTCACAGTATGTATGAGGTCTCCAGGGACACGAGACACAAGTACAGCAGGTGCTACTGTACTTTTTACAGGTACAATTAGAGCTTCACTGAAAACAAGAAAGGTTATTTAAAGCAGGCATATGAATACGATTTTTAAAAGCCCAAAGACTGAGCAATAAGACTGTGAATTCTAGATGTTTTAGTATGACAAAAGAGTACTTAAAATATTTAAACTTGTACTACCTTGATTTAATCCATTTTTGTTCTGCCTAAAGAAGTGTGTGATCCTTTGGAAGGGGGTGATGAGAGCACAAAAATTTGAAAGTACTCAGTCAAATTTTATTAACTCTCTTGAATTTCTTTCTTCTTGCCCAAAGAAGGCAGAGATTCCTAGTTCCTTAGATATATGATTTGAAATATTGAGTGGGAAGGCATAGCAGCTGAAACTGACTAGAAAATTTTGTAAATCAGCTGGGCTCTTTTAATATGATGTGCAAAGCACTGTGCAGCCCATGGCACAAATGCACAATCACAGTGCTCTTAAGACTTCAGCTTAAATGATGTTACTTTATATTGATTGTTCACTGGATTGAGAAAGTGGCAGAGCCCAGCTGGAAGCCTGATGACTTGGACAAAAAAAGGGTTTGAAAATATTGATTTTCTTAAAAGCTATGAATTAGAGCTTCAGCTTTAATTTGTGTGTTAAGTTCTCTGGAGTCATAAGTGAAGCTGTGCTGATGAGCACAGCTGAAGGCATGGCTTCATGAATTCACTTCAGGTCCCTTCCTAACAATTTTGTGAGTGATGATACAACTGCTCTTTGCCCATGGGCAGCAGAAAATTCAGTCAGTAATTAGAATTATCCATGGATAAGACTCATTCAGGTTATCCGAGTCTCCCTATCCCCTCACTACAAACCTTCTGCTCAATGAGTGACTCAAGTGATTCACAGCACCTGCTGACAGTCAAGCCCTTGCTCCAATGAGCAAGATGCAAACCAGCCAGCATTTGAATTGTTTTCCACTACTGTTAACATAAATATGCTTTTAAAATAATTTACAAACACACAAGTCTGATAGTTGTCAAACGAGAAATTATGATTGCATTTAATGAATAGCATAGATGTGTGCCTTTCCCCCTGAATGTGTATCAAAAGGCAAAATAGGAATTCAGGGGTGGAAAAATAAAACCTCCTAGACTCAGCTGCTGCTTATTAGGTTAGCTGGGTTACTAATTATCAGTATTTTACTAAAATACTTCCCCTTCATACTAGATCATTGAGCTTCTCATTCAAATTGCAATCTGTAAGATGATTAAAGATTCTCTACTGAAAAGCAACATACATCAGTGAAGATACTTTAACCAAAGAAGAGTTGACGGTATGACTAACAGAATTATTTTCTGCTTTTCTCCCCCTTTTTACAGCAAAACACATTTTTTTCCCATTAAATAGATTGAAGAGAATTAAGCAAAAAAATGAGACACCATGATATCTGTGGAAATACTCCTTCTAATCTGCATCTCTGGGAAGCAGTCCCTCCACATTCCCCAGAATTATGGTTCCACCTCAGTTATCAACCAATTTTGACAGTGGAACAACATTGTGCTAATGGAAATGTTGCATTTCCTTTGTTCTACTGCAGCAACAACTGTGCTATAATTATGTCTTGCTACTTTATATGCTACATATATAATTAAGGCTTTGAGGTGACCTAATTTCAGCCTTCCAGTACCTGAAGGGAGCCTACAAGAAAGATGGAGAGAGATCTTTTTCAATGGCCTGGAGTCACAGGATGGGGGGGAGATGTCTTCAAACTGAAAGGTTTAGATTAGATATTAGAAAGAAATTCTTTACTGTGAAAGTGGTGAGACCCTGAAACAGGATGCCCAGAGAAGCTGTGGATGCCCCATCCCTGGAAGTGTTCAAGGAAGGGCTCTGAGCAACCTGATCTAGTGAAAGATGTCCTGCCCATGGCAGTGGGGTTGGAATGAGATGATCTTTAAGCCATTCTGGGATTCCATACGTCTTTATTTCTTGAGAGGTAGTAAAATGAAAAACAGAAAGGAGAGAGATAAATCCTGACTTCTTTAGCACTCTGGTGTTTAGCTGTTTCCAAAAAAAAAAAAAAAAAAGAAAAAAAGCTGCACTGAAATATGTAAACTCATATCCTTACTAAATTGGATCATAAACACCAGTTTCCCAGAAAACCACACTTTTAGCACAAAACCAAGCTTAAGCTTCACTTGATACTTCATTTACTGATAGTGAGCATCCTTGATTACATATAGATTCTGTCATCTTGTTTCAAAATTGGAAGATGAAAAAAATTAAAAGCTTGTCATTAACATGTCAGATTGGATCAGAGAAGACATCAGTTTGAAGAAGTAAAGGTTCACTTAGTGCTTTTGAGACAGAAAGGCAAATGCACGCAATTATGTCAATATTTAGATATAAAGCTGCCAAGCTGAATTATAAACATGCATAGCTCTCCACTCACTAAGTTTTTGCAGTGCCAAAATCAAAAAACCATCATATGTCTTACACGTTTCTCATGAATGAAACTCTGACTCCTGAAACATATTGAAAAAACAGCAGAGGGCATTACTTTGCTCTGTGTGACCTGCATAGAAATTTATATTTATCTTCCTTAGCACCAGTTCTCCTGAGGCCATTGTAGAGCAACATAACCAGAATGAGAAAATCCAAAAGAAATGACCTAAAGGGTCTGATAGCACTGCTACTGGTGTCACAGAACCAGCTTATCAGCAAAGCCTAGAAATCCCTGAAATGTCCCTAAGCTACTGCTGTAGCAAGCACATCTCATACACATGGAAAGCAATCTTCCTGTGGCTCATCATCAAGAACAGGGAAAATAAATTCATCTATTCTAAACAGGTCCTGTGAGTGCCTTCACTTTATCCATTTTCAATGTTGAATCAAGTTTCAAAAAGTGCTAGAAGTGATAAAACACAGTCCCATGTTACGCAGTTATTAATATGGACATGCAAAAACCAATCAGAGAGACATTTTTACTCAAGCTAACGCACATAGATCCAAATAATTCTCCTTTTACTCAACTATTATTTTTTCTTGTCTCGCTTTGTCCTTCCTGTATGGTTTCTCCCTTTAAGAAGGTTGCACCCTTTAAGAAGGTGCAATAGAAAAAGAGCCTCATAAGAGGCTTCCACTTGATTTTCAGTTTCTCTTAGAAATTATTAAGCATGTATTTTTCCTTTCCTGGTGGACCTAAGTGGAATCAGGCTGCTTTCCCTAGGCTATTTGCTTCCTCATGGCTCCTCACTGGAAAAAAATGCTCACAATCAAGGTAGCATGGCAAGATGTGAATAGCAATGGTTGATGAATGTGAATATCACCAGAAAGCCCAGAGTAATGCTGGAAAGCCTGGTGTGCTCTCCCAGAAGTGGCATTAGCCACTTCTCTTGCCTGTCACACAGGCTCATCCCTCGGGCCATCCGGATAGAGGGCAACGAAAGGAATCACTCTGAGAAGACAGATAATTAACAGTAAGAGAAAGATTTGTGGCAAAGCACTGCTCCCTTGAGATGGTTTTAGCCTCTCCACAGAGGGCTGCTGCTCTCTGAACTAATCCTGTTTGTGAGATGAAGCTCTACAAGATGCAGTGAGAGCCCTGGTCACTTGACAGGAGAGGGCAAGAGCACTCTCAAAGAGCATTTATTCTCTGAAGACCACTTGGTTCAGGTGTTTAGCAAACAGAAATCTGTGTATTGCAGAGTTACATTCAGAGTATTTTGACTAGAAAAGGTGCATGGATCATTTGTGTCCCTAACATAAGTCTTGACAATCAAAGGAGGGGAGGCTTGAATTTGTTTCCAAATTCAGATTAAAGATCACTTACTATGTTCTGCTGATTCCAGCTCCTATTTTAGCAGCCAACAGAAACCTGGTGTGCAAAGCTGGAACAGAGTGAGCTAGGCACAATGTCATGTCTCTGAAGCCAGCTGCTGGCCCAGGGCATGTACTTGGCACAGCTGGGCTCCTGCCCTGCCATCCAGCTCCAGCAGCGCTGCTGCAAACAAGATCAGCCTGGGACTGCTCTCTCTGATACCAGGACCTGCACCAGAGACTGCTGCATGCTGAAGATGGTTAATGTAAGCAGTGAATATTGATCTTGAGCACAGAAATCATGTGGTTGCTACAGCAACTGCTATTTCACATGGCACATCTTCTGGAGTGGCCAAAGACACCTTTTCCTCAATGAGATGATCTCTACAGCTACCTGGAAGGGGGCTGCAGTGAGGTAGGGATTGATCTCCCCAGCAAGAAGAAATAGGACAAGAGGAAATGGCCTCAAGGTGTGCCAGGAGATGTTAGAAAAACTTAATTCACTGGAAAGGTGGCCAAGCATTGGAACAGGCAGCCCAGAGAAGTGGTGGAGTCACCCTCCCTGGAGGTATTGAAAGGACAAGAAGACGTGGCACTTTGGGACCTGATTTAGCGATTGACTTGGCAGTGCTGGATAGCAGTTGGACTTGATAATCTTAAAGGTCTCTTCCAAGCTAAATGGCTGTATGATTCTGTGCACTCAAAAAGAGAAGGCAGCTATTTTCCATTACCTTTGAGTGAGACTTGTCTCTTGCAGAACTCATTCCTGGCTGACACACTAACAGGCAAAGAGTACTCCCACTGTTTCTGGAATTCCTCCACTTGTTGGCCAGACTATCATGTACAACTTGGTTGGGAAAACAAGGAAATGCTGTGTCTCAGGTTAGGCCTTTAATTTAAAACTATTCTCAGCTCCTGTACTTCCCCTGATGAAGTTGCCAAGCGGATGGAAATGTGAGTTCTGGGGGCAGAACGCAGCTCACAGTAAATAAGAAAGCAGCCTTCCAAGAACAGCTTGCACTTGGTCAGGGGTAGACAGACACTGGCTGCTCGCCCTGAGGTTCTTTTTCCTTAAGAGGGACAGAGAAAAGGAGAGGAGGACACAGTGAACCTTTACTGCTAATTAATTATGTAAGGGTAAGGAAGATGAAAAATTATACACTGCCACAGTATAGGGAAAATGTTGGCTTTGAATTCCAAATGCAGCTCCATTAACCCTTCATACACTGTAGATGTGCAGAAAGATTTCATACCCATGAAGACTCATTTACAGCAAAATCACAGCAGGCTGGTAAATCTGTTGCACTTGAGACATGGATTTACAGATCTGGCTTGCCACCACCTTCAGTGGGCTCTTCCTCTGAATCCCTGCCTGCCAAGGGAACAAGAGCGCCATACGTGTTTTTCCTTGGAGCCATTTGGGTTGTTAGGAGTTCTGCCTTAGCAATCATCCATTGCAACAACATTCCAGGCCCACTTCCATTTCCAGACCATCTAGAATTAAGTCCCCTCCAGTCTGTGTTATGCAGTGTTCTGATGAGCACCGTAGAGAACAGGGTGTAGCATAATATCAGATTTAGAGGCAGAAAGAAAGGTTAAAAAAAAATCAATGGGCCATTGTGTTGTTACGTCTCAAAATCAGATGACAGATTTTTAGTTGTCAAGGTTTAGAAGGTGATGGAAAAATCTACTTTTCTAGCTGTGTCCAGCTTTCAAATTGTGAATACACAGTTCCAGCTTCCAGCTTCATAAGGACATAGGGAGATGGCAAAGGAAGTTTATGATTACAGCATAGGTGTATGAAAGGTGATATGGGTACAGAATGAGTAGCTGGGTTTTTTCATTGCAACAGGTTTCCTGCTGCTCAGGAAGGCAGAATAGGTTAAACCTATCAGTAATTTTTAACCCACGGAGGATAATATTTTCTTTTTTTCCCCAAAAATATTATTTTCTCTTCCTTTATTGAAAGACATAAGTCCTGTATCTTACCACAGCTCTCCTTGCTGTTAGCTGTGCTTATGAATTAAATTCCACCTGCAGGTTTGGAAAAACACCTCTATAGCCAATGTCTAAGTTATTTACATGAATATCTACTGCAGTTCTTCAAGGAAGCACAACAAATGTAGGACTCTACAGCTGTAAAAGCTACCCCCACATGTTAATTAAGAGCAAATAAAACACGCATATTCACAGTGTAAATGAGGCACCAGCAGAATAAAGTCTGCCTAGTCTTTTCTCTCTCAATGGGAGAAACTCCAAACAGATAAGATGCAAGGAGTGGGCAAAAAGAAAAAAGAAAAACATTGCATATGCATTAGGTTAAATTTATTTATAATATTGAACAATTAATGTCAAATTAAGTAGACTAAATGGTTTATTAATTACAGAATAGATAATAATATATTACTCTTGATCCATACATCTGCATAATGTGTTGTTGTTATATATCAATAAAACATTTTCTGTTGATTATATTCTTCATGTATTCATCACACCAACATTTTTCTAAGTGCTATACATTATTTATGTAATGTATCACTAATTACTGCAACACCAATTTTTCCTCTTTTGAACAGCCTCTTCAACTCATTTGTGTCAGGACTTGCCAAACTAATTAGGATGCTGTGCATCCCATTATTTGACTACATTTAGATTTTACTTTGGTTGAAAAAAAAAAGAGATTGCCCTGCTTCTTAAACAGTTACTAACAAGTTTAATTTAGATTTTACTTTGGTTGAAAAAAAAAAAGAGATTGCCCTGCTTCTTAAACAGTTACTAACAAGTTTAATTTCCAGCTTTTTAAGTGCTATCCAATGCACGCCATCCAAGTGCGGGCAAAGTGCAAGAAACAAAGTGCTATCAACTACCTGAAAAAAAGGTTACTGGCTGATGCAAACAGAATATAACACATATTTCTTAACTTTATCACACATTATGACTGAGTAAATGATTAGTGACCTTACCTTGAACACCAGTTCTCCTATCAGGCCATTCCATGACCCATCATCCTGAGGACTCCCATACTTGTGATCTGGTGCTACATAAATTTCATATTTAAAGCCGAGGTAAGTGGCCAAGGCTTCCAACACATCTATTGAGAAGCCCTGATACTTCTTTGGTTTTCCCAGGACATTTTCAGACACCATGACAAAGGGCTCTTCCTAAACAAAAAAATAAACAAAAACAAAGGAGGAATCTATTAATAAAGCAATTATATGTCGTGTTTGGCTGCTGGATTTTTTTTGAACTAAAGAAGGAACTATTAAAATATTATTTATACAAAACTTTCCTAAAATACCTTGTTAGCAGCGCCCCCTACATTCTACAATATGCTATTTTGTTTTGGATTTCCTTCAACAGAGAAATTTTATTTTCTATTATATATTGCAGAAGATTTTGTAGATTTTTGTAAATATTGTAGATTTTCTGCTGTAACATTTCAACTGAATGCTTTTTAGTAATGCCTGCTGACCACACTTATGGTCAGCAGGACAGACATACACTCCATATCTGTCCATAAATATGGAGGATTCTATAGCACTGCCATTTTCCACTAGCTGGGCAAATGCTGTAGCTAATGCAGCCACAAATTCATGTTGTAAGGAAAGAAAAGCATGGTAAACTAAAACATGTGTTGCTCTTGTCCTTCTACTATAACCTGAATATAGGCCAGGTAAACTTCAATAGTTCAATCCAAAGAAGCTCCATTTGATTAGTTTAGGGACAATCAATTATAGGAATTAAGGCTGTCTATGAGAATGATTATCTAAAAGATAACTGTCATAAAGGATAGAAATAGATACCAAAAGCTGATACTGAAAGGTCAGATTTCCAACAACATGCTTTTCTTACTTTTTTAAAGACTTGTAATAGTTTTCTCTATTTTGTTATGAAACTGCCCTGCTCTGTTAGTCTTCCTGTTGCACAATTAATTTCTAGACATTGCCCTGTACTTTTTTCCCAAAAGGATAAAAAAACCCAGATCATATTTCTAAAGACAAAAAATATATATTTGCCATAGATGGACTTCACTTAGGCTTGTTCTTTATTTTCTCTGAAAACATCTGTCTGATCTAAGTACAGCAAAATATTAACTCATCCCCAAAAGCATTAAGGTGCTGTAACACATAGGTAGTTTTTTAAATATGTTACATGTTTTTCTTTTAATTCATTACATCGTGCTGTAATTTTGTATAAGGTTAACAGAAACATCTATTCTAAGGTGCAAAAAAGTGAGTTCTGACTTGCCATAGCTTGGCCAGGACAAGCCCATGACACTACTCCCTGACCACTTTGTTCTGGTCTGCAAAACCGACAGGTAGAGAGAAGAAAACAGAATTGATTTGTTGCAGTGTTTGTGGTCCAAACTTTCATTTTACATGTAGTGGCATTGTTGTTGGCATTTAAAATATTTCTTTATTATTCTACTGCTTATATCTCTGAATCACTTTGAAGCCACAGTATTTTTACCATTTTTTTCACTAATCCTATACCTCACTGATATTTTAGCTTGCTGGAATGTCGTTCTATATGAACAGGTATCACTGAATTGCAGGCTGGATGTTTTTGAAATAAGAAAGCATCTTTTGTAAATGCTTGAGCAAATACTCTCAAGGACAGCCACATGCTGAGGATGCTGCCAAAGAAGAAAGGATGCAACCAGACTGCACTGGCAGGATGTTCTTTTCTGACTCAAGGAAATCCAGGAAAAAACCCAACCCCAACCCAAATAGAAAATGAACCACACAATCCCACCCCTGATTAAAAAAAAAAAAAAAGTCAAGAGTGAACTGTCTCAAGTTGTGTCAAGTTATCATTTCTATTTGTCAGATAGAATTTCTTTCTTCCATAGTATCCAAGACCAGTGAAATTTACTAAAAATGGAGGAGAGAAAGTAAAATGAATTTTTAAAGTAGTTTTCAAGTGCCCACATACCAAGGACATTGAAGAAATTGAGTCTAAGTTGATGAAAGCCTCTCTGAAATGAGAGCACAAATGTGAATTCAGGTTTGCTGATCACCTGAATGATAGATTCCATAATATGGACTCAAAATTACAGGGAAGAAATGTTTTTGCAACAAATAAAAATGGTAGTTCATCAATCTAAACACACTATGCACAAAATTATAAATATTTATGTGTACCAAGGATGTTTTAGAAGTTGATAATTTTCATATTAGAAACTATTAATATTTTTCACTAAATTATTTAGAAAATAGTTGCTCAAAAATTAATTTTCTATCCAGTTGCTCATTGTAGTGATTTAATATGCTGTTTAAAATGCAGTTTGTCACAGCTAATATCCTTATTAGGGCTTAATAGTCCTTTATTAAGCAATGTAATGCTGTTTGTTGTTGAGAGATTTACAAAAAAACCTAATGTCCAGTATCCTATATATATATATATGTAATGAAATATAAACAGTCAATCAGCTTTATGCAAAGCAACTAACATTCTGCAATTTTTGCTGAAGTCTGGACAAGCAAACCCTTTAATCACATTCCAAACAAAACAAAACCAATCTACTGCCACGTTCTTTTTATGGGCAATTGTTTACATTTCTAAGAATGCATTGAAAGAGGACAAAAATATTTGTCTTGATATTTTTCCCTTTATAAATGCTGCAGCTTGAACTATGTCAGTTGTTATTTTCTTTTTTGCACTGGGAGGGTGTTATGGGAGCTATGGAAAGCTGCATACATTCCTACAGCATGGATGTTAAAATGATTGCCTCCATCCTTGAGAAAGTTGAACTTGCAGAAAGAAAATACTCATAGCAAAACAACAAGGACAATGATGAGCTTGCAGAAAGTAGGTGTGAAAATCTGGTGAGCTAACTGATGATTTTGGAGGTGGGAAAACTCACCCGGATGATGAAGGTTCTATTTGACCCAAGTAAATTCAGGAAAACCCTGATACACTTTCTCTCCAAAGTAAGTGTTAATTCAGACTATTTAAGAAGGTCTTTATCAGAGAATCCATACAATTGTCATTCCTTGGAGATGCTCAAAACTCCCCTGGACAGCGTTCCAACAACCTGCTTTAACATTTACCCTGCTTCACAGAGCTGCCACCCAAGGGTCCCTTCAGACCTAAATTGTTCCAGAATGCAGGGAAGTGATCCCAGGAAGGCCACTGCTCCTGCTTCTCCTCTTCTTTCTCTTGGAGTCACCTCTCTGGGGGATTTATGAGCCTCTGTGGGGCAAGAGCAGACTTCACAGCCTGTAAAGCCAGGGAGGTCTGGAGAAGAAAACTAGTTACAACATTGATGATAGAGGAGAAAAATGAAAGAAAATGAATGGGTTGCACACCCTTAACTTCTTGTTTTTGCAAGGTTGATGATCTGCCTCACTGAACCACGTGGACATCCAATATATTTAGGGGATGGTTTTTCATCCAACCTCAGTGGAAGTCCTTTAAGAGAGGGGCTATTTTCATTCCACTTTACCTTCAACATGCCCCTTTTCCTGGATGTCAACTGAATGCAGTACTACTAAGTCTGTGATAAAGCCTTTTTCTCAAAAATAGCCCCACAGTTATCACTGCCTGGTTTCTTCTTGGGATCAAAGCTGTGCTGCCCTGACCCAAAGGAGGATGGGTTTAAAACTTGGTGCATTTTACACAGGACTGTGGGTTAACTGTGGTGGACAGTTACGCACCACACAGCCAAAACCACCTGCAGCAAATAGAAGGTCAGCAGCAAACAGGTGAAGGTTATACTGGGTGAAGCTATGCCTATTGCTTTTTATGCTTAGGAAGATTAAATCTGGCTTCAGAGGTCCCCCAAGCAAGAGAAACTGCAAAATGCTAGACTGGCACAGCTTAGGAACAGTAAAGGTGAGCCCAAGATTAAGGCAACATGGTATAAAAGAGGGAAAGCATTGGAAAGACGACATAATAGTACAAATAACTTTGGGGAAGAAGCTCAAGAAAATGTTTGCCCCATTAATTTCCCTATTATCACACATTTTAAAGACGAAGCCGCAAACTAAGACTGATTGAGGTTAACAATATGCTACATATTAAGACTGATACAGTTTAACATTCCTGGCATCCCTGGAAACTGATGTGAGATGGCATAACATAACCTGTGGGTCCTAGTCATGTTCCCTCCTGGGTACTGCAAAAATTAATTGGATCCTGGCCAGAACCAGGACAATTTGCTAAATGCTTCGAGAATCTAAGACTTAAAAGTACAAAATACAGTTGTTGTTTACTCTGATGAAATTCTCAGACATGTCAATAATTCGGATAAAATATCTGGTTTGAAGCAATTTTTTTACATTCTTTACTATACCCCCTAATAAAGTTAAAAATAGGAGAGAAAAGCTGTTGGGCACAGAAGACCTTCACGCCTGGAAACAGAAGGAGCAATACTCAAACTAAATAGCAGAAAAGAACAATTACGCTGAGTTTAACTTGGTTGTGTTAATTAATTAGACAATCAAAGAGAAACATCTGTTTGTAGCTGTGCTACAGATGTGGATGATAAAGTCAAGCAATAAATTCCAGCCTTAGAGGAGGCAGGGAGGGAGAGCAAGATAATGATTGCTTTTCAAAAGTTCAGTTCCCTAAACCTAGAGTCTCTATTTGGGATGATTTTTAGCCATGACTTTAACAGTGACTTTAAATTCCAAGCTTTGATAATAATCTTTTAGTTCCTCAATGAAAATGGAGTTTTAAAGATCCAGTATTTTTGTAAAGAAGCTTTCTTTTTGCACAAATTACAGAAAATGTTATTGAAAGAACAGAAAAGTTTCATTCAGATCTTAAATACAGCACTCTAATTCAATACATGTGAGGAAGAAAAAAGTTGTGTTCAGTGGGCTGTTTACAAGGAAGTAGTGGTCTTAGCTCAGCTTTTCATAACTTTACCCATTTCCACCACCTCATTAGGACATCACTGGTAAATAAGATAGATTTTCTCTCCAATTAAAAGTGTGGATTCTGTGGCTTTTTTGTGGCTTCTGTCTATTTCAGGATAAAAATTATATGGAGCTATGATACACTGGTCTGCTGCACTTATTTTGCTTGTTCTAAATATAAAAATGCAAAAAAAGCTAGGATGAAATGAAAAAGCAAAAGCAAACCAGAAAGCTTTGGCTTATTTTCCTGGTCAGCTAAATCCTCTTTACCCCTTAGCATGGACAGAAACTTCCTA